AACAACTAAGCAAAGTCAATAATTCAGAAGAGCTACGATTGAAGGAGCGTTTGAGAGATTTTTGCGATCCCCAACAAATATTTCTGAATGAAGGGAGATGTGCAATCTCCCACACTAGTAAAGGGAATCCTAGAAATAGGGCAAAGTCTATATAAAACAGTGAGGATGCATGACAAAAAGTAAGTTAAATCCTCTTTGCATACATTTTTTCCATTCACATTTATTGACTTAAGTATTGGAGTATATTCGACCGTAACACTTCGGTCCTAGACTGTTTGTTCATTTTTGCAGGAATCACTTTCAAAGAAAAATAACATTTTCTTCATAAAGCTTAGGAGGTACGGTGATTTTTCCTCCTACATTTGGCGTCATCTGTGGGAAAGACTTCCCAAACAAAAAAAACAATGGCAAGGCTAAAAAGCACAATTTGATCGCCAGTACATTCTGGCCTCGCAACAAGAAGACTCAGATCCAAATTACCTTGTGTCGTTCCCCTCTGATAGCGACAACAAGGTGGAAATTTACGAAATCCAGGATGAACAAAATGAGAACAGGATTTCCTCTGCCAGTTTCAAACCAAACGATAATGAAAACTAGAATGATAGTCTGCGGGGAGAGTCCCTCCGTGCCGAGGGTGATAATCCCACCATAACAAAGCTGGTCCAATCTCTACAAGACCGGTTAGACGCACATGACAAGATGTTTAAGAAGTCATACACAAGAGAGAGGGCCTTAAAGCGTGGAAATAGAAGTTAAAGGAAAACTTAGAATTAAAAAAAAATTAAAAAGCTTAGGAGAGTTAATGAAAGATATGTCACCAATGAAGATGTTCGACACTCCAGAAGACGACAACAAAGGACACTAGACCATCAGAGGCAGAGAAGTGGTGAAGACTTGCCAAAAATTGGATACCAAAGAAAGTCACACCAACTGAAAACCAAGAAGAAGAGTGGAAATGCTGCATCAATGAAGAGCCCAATAGTCGGTTAAGTAGGCCTGAGTATAAATCAGCCAGAGACTTGGCATGAAGGGCCGCTGGAGAATACGCTAGAGGAACAAAAGTCTCTCCGTTTACTAAATGGATAGAACGAGCAAGGATCCCAAGCAAGTTTGTCTTCCCAAACTTCAAATTGTATGATGAGAAGACGGATCCAACCGCCCATATTCATCATTGCAGACAGTTAATGACGGTGCACAGGAAGAATAAGCCCTTGTTATGTACTATATTCCCCAGCAACCTTGGGAAATCGGCTATGAAATGGTTTGACAGACTTTCTAGGGACTCGGTGGATAGTTGGGGCCAACTTGCCAAGCAATTTACAGCTCGGTTCATTACTAGTAGTCGATAGACTAAGGATGTGGGGGGCACTGGACATTGAAGAAAAGGAACGGAGAAACACTGTGAGAATATGCACATCGATACAGGAAGACAATGAATGAAATAGAGGCGTACAACCCTCAAATTACAGTAGCATCCTTCAAAATTGGATTGCTAAAAAAAAATCCATTGTATCAGTCGCTCATGAGAAGATCAGCAACGGACATGGAGGAACTCATGGCCAGGGTCGAGAAGTACGCCAAGGCCGATGACAACCTCGGTAGAGATATAAGTAGAGAACAAGTCAAGAAGAAGCAGTTCGACAAGGACAAGTCGGGACTGCATGCCTAGTGATTAACCATCTAAAGTGCTATTTTATTTTTATTTAATGATTAGTTAATTACATATTATTTGTGATTATATGTGTTAGATTCCTTAATTTTTAGTTTGATACTTTTTCTAGTTATTTGGTTGATTTTACAGGAAAATTGGTTGATTTAAAGTAATAATGGATAAGACAAGTTAAATAATTACTAGAGGAAGAATCACAACTGATAAAAAATGAAGGATCAAGATTAAGATATGAAGATTTGAAGATAATGCAACAATTTCTAATAAGAGTCCAAATGATAAGAAAATTTATTTAAAGTTGGATTAAGAAAATATTCTAGAAGATCAGGATTTGACACCTCTTCAATATTTTGATCATAACTTTTGACTTTGATATTCAATTGACCTGATTTTTGAGGGGTTGAAAATCAGACTTCTAGAGCTATAAAAGTGTATTTCAAGAAATTTCGTGAATTGGCCTCTAAATATGTGAAATTCAAGTTCAAAATTTGGACAGATTTTGTACCCAAGCCCCCAAGATTATATGCACGGGATTTAACCTTGAAAGACTTCTTTTTGAAAAAAAATTCCTCCCAAATCAACTATATCTTCTACCTATACTTAGTATTTATTTTAGTTTACATAAGGGCTCTCACCTGTTTAAAACAATGAAAACAGGTAAGTCTCACTTCTAAAATAACATATAATAATTTGAAGTAAAATAATGATAGTCAATAAGATCTCGAAGTTCATAAGAAATTAAACCCATTCGTAAAGCAGTAGATAATCACAACCACTTTATCTCATGTATGCAGAATACCATGAATCTACACATCAAGAATATCCTTATCCACAAACAAACAAAATCATCCATGCAATCCTTACAACCACCCGTTTTAAAAGGGAGTACACCAACACATCGGCATTGACGAATACTTATCGAGAATAGTATAATAACTATCTACCTCAATCACAGTGAGTGAATAGTGCAAATTCTTGTATCTCACAAGGAACCAAACAACTCCACTACGTGTGATATGAAACCTTTAAACCCCTTGCAATAAGAAACTCATCTAAACACTTTACGATATCTAGTCGAATACAACCCGCATTCATCACAACCACCCCCTTCAAGATATAATTTTCATATTTTTTCATAAAGTCCACGTATATCACAAATTAGGGTTTCAAAATTACCCAAACATAGTAATTTCAAGAAAACATGCAAGCAAGTTTGTTGCGTTCTTTACGCGTTAATCCTTAAAAATCTTGGCCTCTTTATCTCTCTCTCAACCTTTCTTGGCTTCCTAGGGTCAAAATCTACTGAAAACTGACCTAGGGATGTCATTAGGGTATATATATATACTCAAGTACTTGTAGATTTTTAGTCGATGTGAGATTTAGTTCTCACAAAAAAATACTTTTTTTTGTGATTATATGTATTTTTTTCTTTTACCATGAAATTTATTTCAATTACAAAACGGTAGCTTAAACATTGAGTGATAAGTTACAATCATTCGTGACTAGTTTTTATATTTTGAAAATATTACATAATAATCTCATTTTCAATGCATGCTTTTCTCAATATATTAAAATTAACATCAATGACAAAGAAGGGGGGAGGAGAGAGAGAGAGTATTCTTGAAAAACATGTTATTGGGATTCAACTAACTAAATATTAGTTTAGTTTACCTAATCGCATGCTTAGAGATTGAATCCAATTGACTTAATGAGGGGTGTGGTAGTGGTGGAATATATTGGCCCAAGCAAGGGATATTCCAGCCTCGGGCCATGATTACTCATAGTCCAGCATTTTAGGCACTTTTTGGGCCTAGGACCAACCCTAGTCCAACAGATTTAGTCTGATTTCTATCGGTAAAGATTTGCTCACGCGAATCAACCAATATTTCAAGCTTTCAACTTTCAAGTAGGTTATGGGTTGGTTTAATGGTCACCACTTCCATTATTAGCCTGAACATCGCAGACTCGAATCTTGTCGTTCCCTTCCCTATAATACTACTCAAAAAAAAGAAACTTTCAAGGGATTGCCATGCACATGTGACATAAGGCCAAGGAATATCATAAAGGTCATCACTCTTGGGTTTTGTAATTTACGATCCCCACTAGCTTCTTCACTCATTGGGGTCGGAGTAGTATGAATACGGAATTTTTTATTTTTTTTTTCAAATGAAAAGAGGAATGTGATTTATTTAGCGATATGTGGAGATCGAATTCAGATGTTAGGCATGGTGAAAATTATTTTTTTGTGGTCCACATACATACCTTAAGACTTGCAAGATTTGAAACTTTTAGTTAGGAGGTGAGGGCTTGGCCATCCAAACTAACTTGTGATCTTGAGATCATAAACCAACTTATGAATGGGATTTGGGTATCTACAAGGGCGGCTCAACGCTATTATCAAAAAAATTTGGACTTTAGATCCCACTTTTAAAGATGACCCCAAATTTTTAGATATCATAACTAATCTATAAAAAAAATTAAAGTGATAAATATTTAAGCCCTAGAAAAAGGTTTTATAAAAACACAAGTTCAATAAAAAAAAAAATCAAGGCCTCACTTTAAGGAAGACCCCATAATTTATAAGTGTTCAATAATAGTCTAAATAAAAAAGTTTAAATACATGCCCAAACAAAAAAGTTTAAACTTACTATCATAATTTTTCAATCATTCTTTCTTTCTCTTACCATTAACTTCAAATATGATAACAAAAACTTAAATATAAAATTTTAATTAATATTTTTGCATTTAAAAAAATTAAAAATTATATTTATTATTAATATTAAAAAAAAAAAGACCTAATTATTTCCGTTTTAGGTCTCAAAATATCTCGGGTCACCCTGAATACTAATCAAAAAAAAGAAAAAGAAAAAAAGAATGAGATTTGGAAATATTATTTATAAACACCAAAGTGTAAGACAATGCTTATAATATATGCCAAAACGGGTTATTATACATGAAATATTAATGATTATTAAATGATGGGTGAAAGAAACAAAGATGATTGAAGTTTCGATTTCTTCTGCTTAATTTTGGGCATTGAGCATCATTACACTTCTTTAATTTGGTTGTTGTACTGCATATCTATTATCAATGCTAAATGCGTATCTATGTCCAAAGTTTTTTTCAACACTATTTTGAAAGCTCCCACGGGGGGCAGTTTATGATTCCATGCACATTGTGAATTGACGAGCACCGACGACTTTTCTTTGTTTTGAAATGCTTGTGTGATGTCAGCAAATATAGCTAAAAAAGAAGCCATTGAAACTGGTTCAATTTCATTTGGAAGTATTGGAGTCTGAGTGACCCAGTTGTAATATCAACATCAGAAAGCATGAGATTATCGCATGTAGACAGATATCCACGTAGGTTTATCACCGTCTCTCTCTCTCGCTCTCTCTTCCCCTGCCCGTTGTGACCATAGAAAGAGGTTCTGCCAATCAAAAGTTAACACCACTCTGACCGTGCAAGGTTCTAGAGAGAAATTGAGGTTAAAGACTTTCTCAGTCATTTAATCAAGCTGAGGACGACTCTTTCTCATGAAATCGACTCAACAAGCTGTTTTCGAATGTATTAAAACGCTATTGCTACTACTTTGGTGAGCAGCTATGAGCAAGGTCCAATGAGATCTCTGTGGTCCTAAATTCAAGTCTTTGCATATATAATTAAATTGAGACGACCCAAGGATTTGGATTGTGTTCTTCCTTCATTGCCACTGATTGGGACAAAAGAACTCCATCTTATGTTCCAATCACCTTCTATTGTAGAAATGACACGACTGTGGTGGGACTACTAGTTGCTTAACTGTTTATGGATCAAAATACCTTCTAGCCCTACCTGCCCTTTGTCTTCTGGTTCAAGGATCTGCTCTTTAAATAGCATGTGCCAAGAATCAGGAGTGTTATCTCTCTCTCTCAAATCTTTGTATCCATTTCCGTCCTTTTTCATAGGTGAATCAAAATCCCAAACCAGTAGTTCCCTCTATAGCTCTCAGAAGCTCTGTCCAGTGGTCAGAACTCTATCTGTCTCACTCTCTCTCTACCTCCCTCCCTCTGACAAGTGTTTGTTTCTCTCTGATAACAGTTTCTCATTATTTTGTACTACTGCTAGGCAGTAAGTTATAGTATATTCTCTAGAGCTCTAGCCTTTTGTCATACACAAACGGAATCAGAAATGAAAGTTGTTTCTCTCATAGAAGCAGACCTCATTCCATAATCTCTTATTCCGTAAATGTCATATTGTTACTAATCCATCTTTTTTAATTTTCTTCAGGGTTTGGAGAAATGGAACCCCAATTTGTGTGCTTTACAAAAAGGCTCTCAAGAACGGATGTCCGTCGCAACCTGGAAATACCCAACGGGGCACTTTTTCTGCCGGCGGGCAACGGGGTCATGCGAGTGCGTGACCGACATGGAGTCACATATCAATTCGTAGCATCAGAAAGGATAGGAAGGAGGCGTTCTCTGACCCAAGACTGGATCCCTTTTGCAGCGGCAAAGACTCTTGAAGTCGATGCCATGCTAAGAATTTATTGGTCAGGGGATGGGAATGAATATGTGGTGCAAGAGGGTGTGCAACTCTTTGGACCGCACATAGCTTGGTTAACACTATGACTATAAGCTCCGATCTACTGCATATAATTCTGTGAATTAGGTCGAGCTGTTCCGGTTAGGTAACGCCGGCGCTTATTGGCTTGTCTGTGGTTATCGGAGAAAAGATCTATTACACATATGTGTGGGTTGGTGTAAATACCTTTTGTATAATATTATACGTCTTTGTCTAAACAGTTGGAAATGGATGAGTCAATTCTGCTTTTCATTTCTTTGGACAGGCATGGCATGTCAATAAAAACTCGAGCAACAAAAGAACGTCAGCAATTAGATCATTAAAAGAGAAAAGTCGAATGTCATGATTTGACCACTTATGTAGTAGTGATAACATATTTAGATGTCGTTGACTAATTATAAAACTCAAAATTAAAAATAAAAAAAATGAATTATGCTGAATAGTTATTAGTTTATATATATAAAAAAAAGGAGGTAATACATATAATTATTAGTCTATGTGAAATATATATTTTTTATTTATTTATACATTATTAATTGGTGATATTATATGTTAATATCAACGTATTAAAATAAATATTTTTTCATGCTTGCTATATGTGGGTACAGTTTGGTTGGTCCATCCGAAGCCAACTAGATATTTTCATACTTTATTAATTATGTTTTGTGAATAGCAATGATTAGTCATTAGATTGATTCTTAAATTTGTCAAAAATTAAAATTTACTGTTAATTTAATAATTATAATAAAATTATATAATTAAATCAATAAACTAATTCAATTTTGTAAGTACGAATGGTGGTGGGTTTTGTGTTTTGTGACGTAAGTGCCGTGGGAGTGTGGAAATTTGGAAACGGGTGGTCCGTCACATCCATGCCAAGCAAACATGCACAAAATTCAATGTCCGGAACTTATCATAATGACGGCCAAAGGGCCATCCCCCACGCTTAAAACAAAATCTAATAAACAAAAGATAAGACTATTGTAATGGGTTTAGCATCATACCAAAAACGTACTATACGCTAAAAGTGAGGATACATACTATTATAGTGAAATTGTAATTAAACTTAGAGTCAAATTATAATATAGGAAAAATTTCAATCACACTCCCTCTAGTTTATTATATTTTTAAGGACACCCTCTCTAGTTTCTGAATCTTCAATGACACCCTCTGTCAGATTAAAAATATTAAGTAGAATACAATTTTACTAAATTATCCATGATATATTTGAAGACAAACTTCATTCACACTCTCTAGATAAACATATTTTCAGTGAGACCCCCTTTGTTTTTTAATTTTTTTTACGTAATTAAATTTGAACCGATTAAAATTATATTCAAGCTAATTAAAATTTATTTTTTCACATTAAAATTTGTGTCAATTAAAAATTATATTTTTTTACATAGAATTTGGGCTAATTAAAATTTTGTTTGAGCCAATTAAAAATTATTTTTAATCGACTCAACTCAAATTTTAATTAATTCGCATTGAATTTTAATCAGTCTAAATTTTAATATATAAAAATATATGAATTTTAATTGACTTAAATTTTAAAAAATCTAATTTTAATTGACACGAATTTTAACTAGTAAAAAAATATAAATTTTAATCGACTGGAAAAAGAATTTTAATTGGCGCTAACAACTCGGGTAGGATTCAAATCGGCTCAAATTTTAATATGTAAAAAAAAAATAATAGGCTCGATTTTTTTTAAAAATTTACGAATTAGTAAATAACAAATTAGTATTTACTAACAAATTATTTATTAAAATTGTAATTTATGAATTTTTTTTATGGTTAATCTCATTTTGCACCCCGAAAGATTGTTCGAATTTCAATTTGCACCCTCAAAGATCAAAAATCTCAATTTACACCCTCAAAGATAAAAATTTGTATCAATGTGCACCCCCAAAGATCAAAAATCTCAATTTGCACCCTCAAAGATAGACATTTGTATCAATGTACTTCCCTAAAGATAAAAAATCTCAATTTACACCTTCAAAGATAGAAATTTGTATCAATGTGCACCTAAAATTAAATTAATAAATTATACCTTGATCCCCTCATGTTTGTCACTTAATCATTTGAACTCCTTCACATTTAGAATATTCTCCTTACATCTCATGACGTTTATGCATGTGTAACACATAACTACTTTTCGTTGATATATATTAATATAATCGTTAAAAAATATGATTTTATCCTAATATAAAATTATAATTTTATATTACCTTTTATTTTGTGGATTTGATATACTCTAAAGTTAAAAATCAAGCTTACCATTTGAATGTCTAATAAAATGTAGATATTTATATAAAAGATAATATGAAAAATATTATATAAATATTTATATTTTATTAGACATTCAAATAGTAAACTAGATTTTGAACTTTATAGTATATTGAACCTATAAAATAAAGGGTAATATGAAATTATAATTTTTTATTAGGATAAAATTATATTTTTTAACGGTTATATTAATAAATATCAAAGAAAATGAGTTACGTGTTATACGTGCACAAATGTTATAAGATGTAGGAGTAATATTATAAATGTGAAGAGGTCTAAATGATTAACTGACAAATATGAGGGGATTTAGGTATAATTTATCAATTTAATTTTAGGTGCACATTGATACAAATTTCTATCTTTGAGGGTGAAAATTGAGATTTTTTATCTTTGGGGTACACATTGATATAAAATTCTATCTTTGAGGGTGTAAATTGAGATTTTTGATCTTTGGGGGTGCACATTGATACAAATTTCTATCTTTGAGGGTGTAAATTGAGATTTTTGATATTTGAGGGTGTAAATTGAAATTCGAACAATCTTTCGAGGTGCAAAATGAGATTAACCCTTTTTTTTAATTTTAATAACTCGAATTTTAATAAAATTTTATGTAAAAAAATTACTTGAGGTTATGTAAGGGCATTTTTTGTATTTTAGATGAATTATTTTTGTAAGAAATAATAGTTTAATGATAGGGGGTGTTAGTAATATTTAAATTAAACTAGAAATGATATCATTGAAAATTTAAAAATTAGAAGAAACGGCCTTAAAAATATGATAAACTAGAGAATGTGTCATTGAAATTTTCCTACAATATATTAACATGATATTATCGTCCAAATTTCGAGCTAAGTCGTTTTCAAGTCAGTTCTGTACTGGGAAAACAATGCAGGAGTCCAGAAAACTAGCTTAGCCAATAAATATTTGACACATTAGCTAATGTTGCCACATGACCCACCATCTATAAGGGATGTCAATTTTTAACTACAACACGAACCCGACTCAAACCAAACCCGACACGAACTCAAAAATAATAAAGTTAATTGACATGAATAATAAATGAGTCAAATTAAGATTTGATATAATTAACATGATTAATGAGAACAGTAGATAAAAAATAATTAGTTAATGAGTGTTGTAGATAAAAAATAAGAATTTTATAATTTTTTAAATAATATTGTATTAGTTATTGTCAAATTAAATAATTTTTTATTAACACGAATCCGACACGTACCAAAAATGATACGACACAAAAATAACACTATTAAAAATAACACAACACAAAACTAATACGACACGACACAATTCACATCCTTACCATCCATCATCTAACCCGTAATGGATGGCCAAGGCTTATGTAATTCTCCCTAAAGAGAACGGAATAAATGACATACAAAGAAATGGACGTGGAGTTGATGACCATCTATCATTTTCTAATTTTAAACTGGGTCGCAATCTTTTAACATAAGTAAGCCCAAACTATTTTTGAATGGTATTTCACTTCCAGCTGTATTGACTACTGTTGCGACTCTGAAAACACCCCCCCCCCCCCTTCTCTCCCCCAAAAAAAAACTACTGTTGCAGCGAATTCCTCAATGTTTGTGAAATGCTTTAAGGCCAACTCACGATTGGAGTCAACTCTGAAAATATGGCCAAACTAGGATTCTATCTCGGGTTAATATATGTACAAAAAAAAATCACCGCATCCACCTCCAATGGTGACCAACAGGTACCACCCACGCCAAACTTTAATTTCTCTAATCTCTGTCACTCTTAGATTCGAGTCTAATAGTTCACTAATTTACAATACTGATTAACGTTTTACTTCAGCTCTAAACTAATTTATCCCATTATTGATGTAAGCTCAATTTAATGACTTGTGCAATTCCAAAAAAAAAAAATTATGAATTATGTGAGGATAAGATTATAAAAATTATCAATGATTAGTCTATTGGAGCTTAAGACAGAAGACAATAATTTCTGATTTTGGAGCTTAACAACGGGGCACTTTTTCTGCCTGCCGGAAATGTGGTCATGCGAGTGCTTGACCGATATGGAGTCACAAATCAATTCAAAGCATCAGAAAGGACAGGAGGAAGGCGTTCTCCGAGCCACGATTGGATCGCTTTTTCAGCGGCAAAGACACTTGAAGTCGGTGCCATGCTAAGAATTTATTGGTCAGGGGATGGGAATGAATACGTTGGTTAACACTATAAGCTCCACTGCATATAATTCTTTGAATTGGGTCGTGTTGCGCCGGTAAGGCAACGATGTAGTTTGATAAATAAATTTAAAAGTATTGTATTTTAATATATATATATATATATATGTTTTAAAACAGTTGTATTTTAATAAATAATTGGCATTAAAGAGGTGTCATACACAAACGGCTGAACGAAGAAACTGTCCTTTTGTGTCCCCTTCATAGGACAGCAGTCACATTTGATTTTGATATTGAATTGAGGATGACTTTCGGGTGTCAATTTTTATTTTTTGGTATAGTATAAAAAGGAAAAATATTCCAAAAAATTGGCAAAATTTACTTGATATTGAATTGACCATTTCAATGCCATAGTCAGTCTATTGAATTGACTCTCTGCACATCACCAACATTTAGGACAAAGTCAAAATCCCAGGGAATAGTTGAAATATATATATACTGACGTAAGGAGTTATCTATATAGAGAGGGACGTAAGGAGTTATCTATTATATACTTGGTCAACCTGTACTATAGGAATATGATGCCACAGTGGGTCTATGGGTGTGGGGGCTACTAAGGTTTTCATTTGATTTTGGAGATTTGGGCAAAAACAAAGAATAATTTTTTTTAGCACGGTAGTTTACCGATTCAATTTCTGGTTACATCTCCACACATATACATCGAGAGATTTTAATAAAAAAATATTTCTATTTTGCTGTTGATGGCTGTTGCGCATGAGAAAGAATATGCAAGTTTGGTCCATTGACGGATGCACTTGATGGGGAGGTTTCATTTTTTGTACATTATCTTGAACAATAGTACTTTGTAGCTAAAAGATGACTGATATGTTCAGAGCTTTTCAATATATGTTGAGTATTGATGGGTACATTATCTTCATCAATAGTACTTTGTACCTAAAAAATGACTGATCTGTTCAGAGCTTTTCAATATATTGTCAGTATTGATGGCTTTTCAGAGCTAAAAGTAAAATTTTCAGTTTCACAAGTCATATATACAAAAAGAGAATAGTCTCGAAGGTAAAGTGAAAATTTCCCTTTTCATTGCTATAGACTTTTGAAGTTGGATACTTTTAAAACACAGAAATCATAGATACACAAACAGAATAGTCTCAAAGGTGAAGTGAATTTTTCCCTTTTCATTGCTAGACTTTTGAAGTTGTACATTTTTAAAACACACAAGTCGTAGATACACAAACAGAATAGTCCTGAATCTTGATGGCTGTTGCACATGAGAAAGAATATGCAAGTTTGGTCCATTGACGGGCTAGACTTGTATACATTTAGATAGTTTTTAAGTTCACTGGACACAAAAATGACCATATAATTAAGTATGTGATGTTGATGAAGGAACTCCGTGTTGGAAACTAATTCATTGCTGAAAAATGAATCTGTAGGTTTGCATGTAATTAGAAGGAACTTTCACGAATGCAAGTGAAGTAACACACTGCTCTCAATACAGAAACAAGCCAGCCATTGTATTTATATGTTCATACTGACAAAAGCCAGGACATTATTGTTAGCTGGTCTAGTTTAGTAGTCTGTTAGTCACACCTTTTGTTTCTCTTTAAATTGTTTTAGTCATATTGAAATGGTCCACTTCCTCCTTGATTTCCTTTTATAAATTCTAGATGAACCATTGAGGCTTGGTTAGATTGGTGAGATTGACCATTAGGTTTGATTTGGAAGTCTTTAAAGTGTTCTTCTGCTGCATTTGCATTGCTGCTTCGATAATCTTTCAAGAATGGGTCTAAAGGAAAGTGTTAGGGTCATGGGGTACACATATTAAAGGTGTGTAAGGTTTAATATATATATGTCTGTGTCTGTGTCTGTGTATATATATATATAAACAAATTTTAAAAAATTGAGGGTGGGCCAGGGACTCCCTTGGCCCAAACTTAGCTCTAACCTTGTCCATGTGGCTGTGGACTAGAGGCAGCCCAATTTACGTTAGAGTTTAGTCCTTTGAATTTGCCTGAGTTCTCGAAACAAATAAATTAGATTTGCAATAGCAGTTCTACTCAATACGTAAGCATCCTGGTTGGATTACGCACCCTTCATCTTGTCAATTATTAGGAGGAAAAAATGTTTACCTTTATACTTGTCAATTATATCCATACTTGTAAAAATAATAGACAAAACATAAAATTCTTAAAAATTAAAATAAACCTAAGAAAATTTTCAATCACAGACTACTTTAATCAAAAAACAAAATGACATAAACTACTTATAAATCAATCGCTATCTCAATGAATGAATCACAGACTGTGTGTGTGTTGTTGTGCGCTTGTGTGTGTGTTTGCGACTGTACTGCTGGTTTTTATGTGGTTGTTCGTTGTGGTTTTTGTGAGGTTATAGTTGCTTTATACACAACACATAATTCATGAGAATTGCATTTCATTGGCTATTACCTGTAACAATTGGTTATGACAAACCTAAAAGCAAAATAATCAATATCGCAACTACCTAGATTAATAATCTTTAAGAATAATGAAAAGAAGCTTACTGTTGGGCTTACCAAAAATTAATAAATCACCTATAAAAATTTATAATCCCAAACAACTTCAATCACATAACAAAATGATATAAACTACATGTATCAACCAAAAAAATACAAAAAGAAACAAAAATAACTATGAATTAACTAAAATAATCCTCGATTAAAGATTACTCTTAGCAAATCTTCTAAGCATGGACTAAACCAAACCAAACAATCTACAACTTTCAAGAGCACACAGTACCTAAACAACAACAAAAAAAGTATACTAAAAATTCATCACAAATAATACAAAAGAAAACCCAAACAAAACATTGTAAACAATACAACTCTTCAACAGAAAATGTACCCAAGTCTATAGGCAAATATTTTATCCAAAAAAGTTTTTCCCACAACCATTTTTACTTCAAGAAAAGATAACACAACCTAAAGTTAGAAAGAAACAAATCGTTGTTTTTTAATGAAGTATTTTTTTAATTTCCAATTTCAGGTGGGCACAACTCTTTTGGTTCGAGGGCTAACCGTTCCACTTATGATAAATCAGCTCAAAGCTACTTCGAAATTGACTGTAAGTTTTGATACCTTTTCTTACTACTTCGAAATCTTCCTTTTAAATTAAAGAATTCGATATGTCATCAAAATTATGTCCACCCCTAGGTTCACCCCTCCAAAAAAAAACAGAGAGTAGGGTATTTCAAAGATTAAACTGGAGCTTCATTTAATTTCAAAGATTCTAAGCTTCCATAGCTCCATTTCCTTGTGAGCAGCACATCTATTAACAGTCTTAGTAAACCACCAAGCGGGCAAGCTCCATTCAGCTACTAATAGTCTTATTAAATTTGGGAATATAGTTTGGCAAGTGCAGTTTTAATAGATGGGAATATTGACTTGCTAATGATTTAAGCTTTGAAAACACCCATGACGTAGTATAGGGTAAAGGTTAAAGCGCCATCTAAAGTAAAGGTTTTTGCTTGGACAATAGCTTTTGGAGGAGGGCGGAAGAAGGTGGCAGAGAGATGTGCTTGCAGACAGTAGTAGGAGTGGGTGTGCGTTCTCTTAGGCATTTCAACAAACACATCATGGGCATTATGATTGGGGTCTGGGTTTTGGGCAGTTTCAGTGAGAAACAGAAAGAGGGGAGGCGAGGGGATGGAGAGAAATACCCGGACAATGGCTTTTGCAGTGTTGCTTTGACAAACGTGTGTGTGTGTGTGTGTGTGTGTGTGTGTATCCCCAGTGTTGCTTTGGTGTAGAGAACCCGTGTGTTTGTGCAGAGGGGGTATAAGAGGAGATGTGTTCTGTATTGGTGAGAGGGGGGTGTTTGTTGGGTCTTTGCGCAGAAGAGGGATGCGGGGAATACCTGGCGTTGGCCTTGGCTGTGGCTGCAGCGAATGACATGAAGAGGACATTAGGGTTGGTCTGTGTGTTGCCAGTGAGCCATTGGGTTGTGTTGGGTTGGTTTGGACTGGGTTGGATGTGGTGATGGTTAGGTTAAGTTGATTGGATGGAACGGTTTTGGAGGGAAAAAAAATGAATAGGATAAAATTTAAACTATAAGCTGTTTTATTATATAGATTAAGTTTATATATATATATATATATTAAATTATATTTTTTCTAATAAAAGATAAAAATTTTAAAATTTTAAAAATTAAAACAAAAAATACTTTTTCTATGTTATCAAACATAAAACAAATTCCCTTTGACCAGTTTCTCTTTTAAGTGAAATTGATTTGTGGGTCCTTCTATTGGTCTGTGTTATGAGTGGTTTTGATGTGTGGATTTGTTTGTGTGTATTTGTGCATGCTTTGTCCAAAAAAAAAACACATAAAAAAATTCAATCATTTTTATTTTTCATCCCTCTTATCAAACACAAAGGAAATAAGAATTTCTCCCTTAAAAGAAAAAAAATATATCACTTATACTTTTTATCTTTCTATTTTTTCATCCACTCTACTAAATTGGCAATTAATTTCATTGTTTTCTATTCAGACCGCAAGAGTTCTATGCACTTATTTTCCATGCTAATGCTTACCATCACAACCAACCAGACTAACCAATCTCCATAACATCCTACATCATAATTTTTTTTTGAGAAAATTTTATCCACACTTCTTCTTAATTCTGAAATTTCACCTCACTCCCTTCTGATTTATAGGGTAAAATCATTAACATCTACTAACAATAACTTTCATCTCTGACACTAGAGAAATGTATGATTTGACTACCTATTCTTTGAAAATGCCAAACTTACCTTTTATTACGTTAATAAACTAAAATGCACTTAACCCTCTGCATCATTACATATGCTCTAAGCCACCAACAACGGTCTTAAACCTCAAATTTTATCAAAGTAATATTCACAGTCTTCAAAATTGTATTTAATTCATCCAATTAACATTTAATTTAATTAAACCAATACCAAATTAATATTTAATTTCATAAAATTAATACCAAATTAAAATTCAATTTAATCAAATTAACTATCA